ATGAATCCCTTGTTTTCACCTTTCATTTTTTTTTTTTTCAAAAAAGAGGGATTTTGCAAAAAAAAAAAAAAAAAAAAATAAGCAATGGGGTCACATTTGCAGACGTTATCTGGCGGGCAAGTCTGTCACTGTAGAGCAAAAGGAGACTGTTGTTGATTTTCACATTTTTGGGGAGGGAGAGAAGGTTGGATTCTCATGGAGGTATCGGCCGATCGTCAGTCTCTCAAAATTAGGGAAATCAAGGTTGATTCATCAACCAGTGGAATTCTTGGTGCACTTCTAATGGAAAACTAATCTTTGTTTTAAAGTGAAGATGTTAACAACATAGCATTAAAGTGTCACGACCTGCTGACAAAGCTTCAATTCAAAAATCTGAATTATCCCTTTAAGGTAGTTGGTGCATGCTTTGCCTTTTGTACTGGACTCACTGGACTGGCCAAACCACAGCCTATTTCACAGTGCTGCATCTGCACATCAGCATTTGCTTAAAATTACAGTTCATAGAAAAAGAGGCCAAACAACCAGGATAAAGTGCTGAAGGAGACATATTTCATGAACTGCTGTTTACCGTGGATATAGTTAGATAAGGTCCTATCAATTCACTATCATTCACTTTGGAGGCAGCGAGCATTATAGTCACAAATACATGAAGACAGCAACAATATGAGCCTTAAGTGTTAGATGTGATTGTATGTTCCAACATGTGCTCACCTAGAACTCCTTGATAGTCGACCAAGTCAAAGTAGACCACAGCCACAGAAGTCCAGACACCAAGCAGGGCCAGCACGATGAACCAGGTGAAGAAACTGCTGCTGCTGCTGCTGGAGCCAGAGTCCGGCTTCTTCCCGTTTTTACTGGATAACAGGCTTTTACCTGCATCTGGACCAGAAACACACAAAGCATCAGGTTTAGGACTGTCACTTAGTTTTCATTAGCAAAGCCATTTAAATGATGACTAACTAAGGTCAGTGAATAATTCTTTTCCCAAAGCACCAGTTTACCTTGTCTTGCAAAACATATTCTTTATGTTGATGTTTGTAATCAACAGCTGAGCAGTAAAAATTAGAACATTTATTACCCACCAGCAAAATTTAGCTTTGTTAATTTAGCTTGATGAGTATCTGAGGTTCAAAGAACAAGTCCAATAAGCTAGGTTTAATTATTAGGGTTAGGGTTAACCCTCTCCATGGGCTGCCACCTTATCGGGGTGGAGGGGTTTGAGTGTCCCAGTGATCCTAGGAGCTATGCTGTCTGGGGCTTCACCCAAGGCAGACAGGTGAGGAACCAGACAAAGTACAGCGTGAAGACCCCTAATGATGATGAGTGTTCCCTCGCCCGGACGCGGGTCACCGGGGCCCCATTCTGGAGCCAGGCCTGGAGTTGGGGCACGTTAGCGAGCACCTGGTGGCCGGGCTTTTACCCATGGAGCCCGGCCGGGCTCAACCTGAACAGGCTCCCCCTTCCCATAGGCTCACCTCCTGTGGGAGGGGCCAAAGGGTTTGGGTGCAGTGTGGTGGCCGAGGGAGGGGGCCCAGCCACCACCTGTTTTCTCGTAAGGTTTCCAAGGCTGCAGGACACCCAATGTTCAGGACAGCAGCCTTGGGGAAAAAAAAGCCGGTGGAAACGCTCGCAAAGCAAGCAGAGTAGAGCAGGGCCGGGCCGAGCCAGTGGAAACAGGTAGAAATAATTAAACCTAGTTTATTGGGCATACGTTTCTCGGCTGGCCTGGGAACGACTTGGGATTCCCCCAGAGGAGGTGAAACAAGCAGCTGGGCAGAGGGAAGTCTGGGTCTCCCTTCTTAGGCTGTTACCCTCACGATCCCCACGACCCGACCCCGGAGAAGCGGAAGATGGATGGATGGATAATTATTTCTAGGGATGCACGATATATCAGGACTGACATTGGTATTGGCTGATATCCATTTTTTAACATGTTGGTATTGGCCCAATAAATTAAAATGGCCCAATATTAATGATTGATATTTATTTCTCTTATTTCACAGCAGTGAAATATAAATAATATTGGTAAATATCAGTTATTGGCCATCACAGCAACATCAATGGCATGTACTAATATCGAATATGGGCCCAAATTTTCATATTGGTGCATCCCTAATTATTTCTAGATGAGTAAGCCACCGTCTGCACAGACTTGCCAAGGCCTGGCTCATCAGCCAAGATGCCATTGAGTCGTTTCTTATGAAGGTTTACCAGCCAGTCCACTCCAATCTGCTGATATTTTCTCAATAACCCATGCAACAGAGCAGGCGCTGGATGAAGTGATTCTGAGGCTGCCCTTGGGCAGGAGGAGTTCCGTAATCCGCAACAAGTGCTGCTATAAATTAAAATTATTTTGCTCATATAAAATGTTTGCTTGACATGCTGATGCTATAGTACTTTGTTGCTGTAAAACAACGGTATCAAATGAATGGCTCGTTGCCAGGCCTGCTCAGAGCTGATCCTGGTCTGATGGAGTAAGGATGCATCTAAAAGTTGCAGGACGGTAGCTCTGGAGGACTGGACTTGAGCACCTCTGCACTACAGCAAGGAGCAGAAAGGCTACACCAGAAAGGACGAACCAGATCCAAAAAGTTATTCCGGGTGTGCCAAAGATATCCCACAATGCATGACAGGAGAAAGGGCAGAGAGAATCAACAGGTGCTAAAGGGAGAGTTGTGTTGCCAGGTCAGATTTCAGAGACGCCTAGCAGTGCTCAACTCTGAACAATGTTCCACTTGTAAAGTCCACTAACCTGGATGAAACAAATGGAATGTTTAATGCCTTTAACCTGTAAGGGAATTCTCACCTGTCAGGTAAAACTCGACCAGAACAATGTTGAGGTGTGATACAGAGATCTGTGCTGCATTTGTACAAAAGGTTTGTTGCTTCAGAACTGCATGAATGCACAGTTGGACACAGAATGCCTAAACGTGGCCAAACGTCAAACATAGGTGTGTACCTGACTCCATTAAAGGCTTCAAACAAACATTTAGAAGACGTGATAAAATAACCAATGAAGTTAATGGGACAGGACGACCTGACACAACCAGACCGACAGGTTTTCAGAAGACAGCTGTCCTTCACTCTGAACCTAACAACCAGTCCCATTCAATGACCCTGAACCTGCCCTCACCTTCCCTACTACCCAGTCAGTCATTCATGAGCAGACCCCTTCCTCACCTTGCATTTCCCCTGCAGGAATCGCTGTGACAACAGGCGGTGTGATGGACTCTACCAGGTTTGCTGGATCACCCATCCCTGCCGTATGAGAGCTTGACAACTAGTGGCGAGCTGAAAAAGCAGCTCTGAGTCCCCACCTCTGCTGCCTCCTTTGTGTTCCTATCCGGCCCTTCCCTCCTGACTTGTTTTGTTTGTGGTCGGGTCAGTCAGTAAGTCACTCTTGCTGTGGGTATGGATGCAGAGGTCATTCAGACCTATTTATAGTGCTGTTAAACAGCTGGTCCTGACATATAGGCAGAGCAAGGAACACAGTCACTGTCCTCCACAGCCTGGAACAAGTGGAGGGGGAGTCGACAAGAATTTGCTCCCAAGTAGAGAGAAAAGAATAAAATCTTATGTTTGACATCTACGTCTTACATAGACCACAATATTATTTAAAGATTGTGCTAAATAATGCACTGATGATTCTGTGAACTAACCTGAGCAACGATCAGTCCCTCACTGAGTGAGTTAATGGACCAAGAACTCCCTCTTTCACCTGACAACCACAGCTTCTTCCCTCTCTCTCTCCATCTATTATGTCCCTCCAAACAGACATCTATCTTTCTTATGGTCATTCTAGGTCAGCTAGACATTGTTTCTACTAAGTCCAGGAAAATGCATTAAGACTACACTTTGTGATTGGTTCAACTTTCGTCTGAGTAGACAGCTTGGTCAGCTCATTTGATCAACTCCAACAATATCAAACCACATTTAAACATTAGTAGCAGTTTTTATGTTGGTCTCCCTTTACGTGCTTGCATGACAGGAGACATTGCTTTCCATGAAAGTTTCTTCAGTTCCTCAATGTAATATCATATTGCTGGTTATAACAGCTTGCCATAACAATGTTGGCATTCTACTACCCTACTGTGGGACTTTTTGAAACAGGAAATCTTGTTCTCATAGCCTCTGTTTGATGAAAAGCATAGCAGCCTTCTTTCAGCCAGTTGACTGGTAGGGTGCAGCAAAAGTTTATAAGTGTGTACCATTCAGCCCCTTCTAGGTAACCAACTCATGCCTACCTGTAGAGACTGAAGAGCATTTTGTTTAGTAATCTGGAAATATCTGTGTGAATATCTTTGTGTAATTTGGTGGATCTCACTTCACTGCTCTGTGCACTGGACAAGTGCACAGAAACTAGTCTCTGTTTCACAAAGCAAACATTAAAGCCCAACCCAGCATGGGCTCACCTCATCTCAGAGCCTTGAGGCATTTGTTTTGCACTGCTGTGTCAAAGCAGATGGCCTACATGACATGTCATGTGAAGAGGTCACTGCTTTCGTACAGCTAGGCAGTACAGTCGGAAGTACTGTTGCCTTGCAGCAAGAAGGTCCCAGGAGGCAGATGCAGCCCCCTCCCGCCCTGCATGGACAATAGATGGCTGGATAGGCCATCACCCTCATTTCTTATAAACAGTCACTGCAAAAACATTGTACAGCTCCTTTAAATCCTAGGGGCTTATATTGCATCTAGTGCAGTGGTCTCCAAACTTTTGGCCACATGGTCAAATTTGCCAAATTCAAAATACTCATTGTATTCAAATCACTTTTCTCCCCCCAATAATAAAAAAAAAACACATAAAAGGATTTTGTTTTGAAAATCTGAAATTCACTTTTTTCTAAGCCCTTATATATATATTTTTTTTTTATGTACTTTGAGTGTCTAGGCATGAAAATAATTTTAATTTATTCTCTGCCAGTGCTGTTTTTGGGTTATATTTTTCACTCTGTTCATTTTTCTGTATTGCCTACAACGTTTTCTTCTCTGACGTCACCGACTTTACTGTGGAACTGCTAAACAAGATCATGACTTCATGGCTAATCAGTTTTGTGAATACACCATTTTTCCCCGCTCGCAATGATTTTGTAGTCCAAGTTCAGTTATCCCAAAGTTGCAATTGGGCAACTCAAAATGTTCAGTTCTAGTGTGTATTAATGCACACAATTCCTTACATCGCCACCCCAGCATCAGAGCCTCTCCCAATGTTTCGTTCAGTTAGGTTTTTCTTGGGAATGTAGTCATATCAGTGGGAAAAGTCTGTTGTAGTGCCTCTGCTTGCCGCACACAGCTTTTCCTTTTTGGTTTCATATGTTAAATAAAAGTGGCGTGAAATCTGTAGTGTGGTTTTGTAAACTTGAGCTTGGATTCAAATGTCTTAGAACTTTGTAAAAAAGATCAGATCATTTACATATCAAAGTCCTGCTTAGCCAGCCTAAAATCTCTCATAACTTCACTATGCATGGCATTCAAACACAAACAGATGCAAAGATTAACTCCATTGTTCTCTTTGACAATAAAATAAGAACAATAATCCCACGTACTTTGGCACTGAGATGGAGGTGGCAAAACCAGAACAATTCCTTCATCAGTTTAGTAGCAAATTTACATCCAGCAAGAGTTTGAATAAAATTTGTTTAGAATAAAATAGATTTACATGAATTAAACATTTAATATATGTTATGAATGTGTCTAGATGTTGAAACATGATTTTTAACAAGAAAAAGAAAAAAAGTGGCCCAATTTTAAATGGTCAACCACAAAGAAAGCGTGGCTGTAAATGCTGCTGCTCCTTTTGCATTTGTAGTTATGTTGCAACATATTTGAGAAAGCAGGAAAATCTGGTTTACGCATTATGACAAACGAGTCCCTGAGCACCAGTGAACTTAAGATATAACATTTGGGTCAAATCAAACTAAACCAATTAAAACAGAAGAAACCTATGTACATTAAACTGTACTGATCTCGGTGCCCCAAAAGGACCACTGGTTTGCTGCTTAAAGTAACCTTGTGCAGCTAATGTCTAGCAAAAGGAATCAAATTTAGAAGGTTATATTGGACACTAGAGGAGCTGACTAATCTACAGGTGTGTCTTTATCATGAAGGGCTATGTAAAAGTGAACTTTCAGAAATTCAATTAGAAAAAGTAATTTTATCAAATTGTAAAATTCTAGAAATAATGTTTATGCTCACTGATAAACAAAAAAAACTAAAATATAAAAATAAAATATTCTATCCATCTGCCATCTTAAACCACTTATGCCTGAGGGTGACCAATGATCTCCAGTGGTCAATGGTCCAGAGGCAATTAACATTAAAGTCTTGTTGTTGAAGTCAGAGTATCCAGGGAGAACACATGCAAACTCCATGCAGAAAGGCCTCAGCACCTCCTTACTGCAAACCAACAGCTCTACCAACTCACCGCCATGCAGCACACAAACTGCTATTTATCAGAAACGTAAAACAAGGGGGGGGAGGGAACAAACAACAAAAAAGAAACTATGGATGTAATTTTAAAACTTTTTCACAGAACTGTACCCATTGAGACATCTAGCATAACAATTCATAATTGATATTATTCAACTCACTAGATAATGCAAGACAATGTTTACAGTTTAGCAGTAGAAGTCAGTTTGTGTCATCCAGAATTTGTCTTTAGGAAATGTTTGTAGGCCGAACGATTCCTTTTGTTAGTCTTCATGGATAAATATCAGTATCATCAACATAATGCGAAACATTTTTCCAGTGCTGTCTAATATTTATTCCAAGTATGTTTAACGCACTTTGTGCAAAGAGACAGCTAGCCAGCCCATTCACACATGCACACAATAAGTAAAAACTGCCATCCCCAAACACAGAACTGTTGCATAACATACCGTTCTGTTCCTCCATGCCTTCCAGATTGTTAATATTATTAGTGCAGCAGTTATTTCACACACATGGTTGCATTCCAGTATTTTTCAGACAAATAGGAGACCTTGCTGTGGAGTGTCTTCTTTTTGTAACACCCTGCACACATTGTTCAGTTTAAGCTACTCCTCTTAAATCTTACATAAGTTCTGCCGAGTTCCTGGCTCCTAACCCCAACTCTTCCCCTGCAGGCTTTTTACAAGCATGCATGCTGTTGCGTCCACACTCCCACATGTATCTCTGTATGGCTTTGAGGACATTCAGGTTTTTCTCACTCTGTAAGCTTTGACACAGTTGACAAACTTTTCACTAAATCTGTCTTTTTAGTTCAAAGTGGGGACTATCAGATTTCCCACTTTGTGGAATCTTACACAAGCTATTGCAAGTATTTCCAAGCAGAAACTCTGGCTGGTTCACTTTTCAAGCACTGGAATCTGTGAAGTTGGACAGTGCATTCCAGAGATGAAGACTGGGACCTCGGCACCTCAAAAGCAGTAAAAAGGAAATCATATCTGGATTTGTGGGGAGAAGAATCCTGAAAATAAGCCTTAAAATAAAATGGCTTAAAAGATACAGTGGAGGTAAAATAATTAATTCCTAAAGTAACCTAACGGTATCACTAGAAGTTATTTAGTCAGCCGCTAAAGTTTATAAAAAGGGCTGGATCTGAAGTCTGTAAGGAGTCAAACATCTAGTTTGGTGCTGCTAAAATTCCACAATACCAAATACACCTTAACAGAATCAGCCGTTTCCTGAAAATAAGGCTGCAGAGCTACAGCTAACCTTGCAAAGTTCAGATTAGTTTAACTGCAGACACAACACACCTCCTAATGAAAACCAAATGAACACAGCACCGCAAGTCCATGCAAGGTCAGCTAGAGGCATTTGCATCTAAGGATTTTTGTGACGTTATGCAAATCGAAAGAAAAAAAGAAAAAGAACACTACAACACACAGCACAACGATCCCAGAGGAACAGACTTGGCTGTTACCCTTCCATCTCTGCAGAGTTCAGCAGCTCCCAGGATTCTGGATAGGGAAGGAGGAGCAAGAGCCCTTAAGGAAACCATTATAAAAATGTAAGCGCAAATACAATGAGAATGATGAGAGTAGTAATATTCGATTGCAAACACACAGATCCAGCTTTTCATCCATCCATCAGACATGATGTCATTAATTTAGGACCTTCAATAATGTCTCTGAATTGGCCTTTTTCCATGGAGGAATAATCAGAAAAGACAAATTCAATGAATCGTTAAAACAAGAATTGGGTACACAAGTTTGAATTTTCTGTGGATTGTTTTTGGTCTATACAGTGTCAAATATATACATACAGCCCCAGTAATAATTAGATAAAAGTTGATGTTTGACCACTCTTTGTGTAAGGAATGGTCAAGTTTTATTTCTTTTAACTGGATGACTTCTGAACACTAGCTAAGTTTACAGGTAGTTTGTCCATTTGA